AGATGATGAGGAAATAGTGGCCACACGAGTGGGGGGTGGGGGTGCCCATAAGATCTATGATACCGGTATGTAACAAAACATTCCTCGAGACATTCAGCTCCATCTACATAACGTCTTCACTAGTATATGTCTGCCGCTAGTCCACCATAACAATATGCCTGTCTGCCTTGATGTCTGTCTTCCTTGATATGTCTGTCTACTGTCTGCCTTTATATTATATGTCTGTCTGCCTTTGTATGTCTGCCTTATACGTCTGTCTTCTTATCTATAGCTAATGATGACGTTCCACTAAAGATGATCTTTCCTCCTGCCCGTGGTCCACTGAGTGGAGTATGATAAGATTAAATTTTAGTGTCAAAATATTTTAAAGACACTTGAAACTGTTTTTCAGCTTCTTTTTTCACTTCCTTCATTTAACACTTTAAGACTTATCAATAGTGAGTGAGTCTCATGAATACAAAACTAAAACCAAACATTGCATAATTAAAAACCGCAGTCCAAGTTTAACTAAGACCGCAGTCCAAGTTTAACTAGGACCGCACCAGTAAGGCTTTGTCTTGTGATAACAAAATTAAGGATGCACGCATAAAGTGATTTAGTCGGAGAAGTACGGTAACTAAAAGCACACGTGGATAATAGACTTAAATAAAGTCCCTTCATAAAGTACGGCAAACTATTTTTCGACAATTTTTACCCCATTCCACCCCCCCTCACAAATCTCAGAATCCCACCCAGAGGCGTAACGAGGGGAGGGTGGGGGGACAGATGTCCCCGGGCGCCAGCTAGTTAGGGGCGCCAAAATGCGCTGTGATATTATTTTATTGATGAAAATAATGGGCTTGAGAGTTGAAAAAAAGAAAAAGGGGCGCTTTAAAATGAATCTTGTCCCCGGGCGTCAAACACCCTCGCTACGCGTCTGATCCCACCTACCCCATTCCAAAAGTCCGTTGCACTTTCGAACTGAAAAATTGTGAGAAAATTACAAAAATGTGAATCTAACCGAAAACACACTTCCGTCAGACACAATACATCCATCACAACAGAAAGTTCAGCATCACTGTCAATTTCAGGTTTTATTTTGTCTGATTTAAAACAAAAATTGTGTGACATCACACTATTCCCCCCCCCCCCCCCCCCCTCTTTTTTTTTTTTTTTTTTTTTTTTTTTTTTTTTTTTGGGGGGGGGGGGGCATTATAAATTATATAACATTGTATGTGATCCCTCGGGGCGTGGTGTAAAAATGAATGGGAAACCAGTGAATCTATTTTGTTAGCACCAAGATATAATTACGCCATAAATACATTACGGGAAGAGAATCACATACTCATAAATTGATCATGAAGTCGTGAAGTTAATGTTGTCTGAGGCATTGTCATTGTGATACCAAGCGTGTGTCAACACAAAACAACAGTATGATGATAAATTATACGAACCACTGCAGTATCATTGATTTAAATATCATGTGAACGCTGCTTTTCAAAACTAAGGCTTATCAAGAACTATGTAAGAACCACCATGTGACAGTTAAGGCTTTCTGATTTGGCTCTACTATCAATTGAAAGTGACACGGTGAATGTTATTGATTTTGATCAAGGGATTGACAGGTTTGCAGCTTTGAAGACCAGGAAAGTAACATTTTCAATAAAGTAAATTTAATGTAAAAATAACAAGAAGAAATCCACCATGGAAGTCGGGTGGGAGGGAGGGGGAGACACCATGCGTTTACCGCACTAGGCGACACCAACTCTAGCTACGCCACTGCTACACACTACATGTTAAATCAACACACAAGGCACAAGGCCACGAAGAATGCAACCCCCCCCCCCCCCCC